TTTTTGGACAGAATCCAACAGTTTCAGGGTATGTTTGGGTGCCGCACTTCAAATATGGGAACAGTATTCCAGGACAGGTCGGATCTGTGCCTTATAGATCATAAGCAGCTGACTGGAAGTGAAATAGCTCCTGGCTCGAAACAGAAAACCAAGTTTATGGGATGCACTTTCAGCAATTGGTCTCACGTGATTTTCCCAAGAAAGGTTATTGCTGATAGTAATACCAAGCATCGAAATGGATGTCTTCAAACTTCAAAGGTATGGTTACTCCTGACATGCTTATGTTTGGCACAGTGAGATCGGTTTTCTAGAGAAAAGGCATGCTTGTGTTTTGTTTGCATTGGAATCTACCAAGTTATTGGATCCCCATTCGAGAATTGTTGCCAGGTCCATATTTTTGTTGTCAACATTTCTACCTCGTTCGTTTCTGAATTGCCTGGCTGGTATTGGAGCCCTGGAAGAGAAGGCGGTATGGAGGGTACTATCATCCGCGAAGCTGTGTGCATGGCATGGAGTTGCTTCCAACAAATCGTTGATATGGAGTAGAAATAGTGTTGGTGCTAGAATTGATCCTTGCGGAACACCAGCATTCATGGTAAGAGAGTCAGATGAAACTCCGTCGACCACTACATGGAGAGACCTGTTTGAGAGAAAACTAGCTAGCAGAGAACATAGCTGGGGAGGCAATCCATAAGATGGAAGCTTGGCGAGGAGTCCGTGGTGCCAGACTCGATCGAATGCTTTGGAGATATCAAGTGCCACGGCTAAGGTTTCACCATATTTTTCAATAGATTGCTGCCCTATATGTGAGACGTAAGCGAGCAGGTCACCAGTTGATCTCTGATGACGGAAGCCATATTGCCTATCGTTGATAATACCTGAATGTTCCATGTTCTTCCACTCAAGTTAAAATATCTGTTCAAGTTAAAATATCTCGAAAAATAATGACTTTATCGCCATGGAGAAGGAGTATAATATCTACGTGAAATTGGAGAATCAAAAAATTGTGATTGAATTGCAATTCCGCCAGTGGCGTAGAATTTGGAAAGGATCAACCAGTAAATTGCCCCTGTCGTACGCCTCTGGCAGAAGCCAGAATAGACACATATTTCGCCCAACAGATTAAAATCGACCCATCGGAGCGTTTTTTCCACATCTACTGTATTAGAAAGGAAGAAACAAAGAACCCCCAAACCTACATGTCAAGTTTTCGATGGGCCGTATCAGGGCCTAGGTAAGATAGAGTAGGCCCTGGCCGTATAGTCTATCCAAAGTCAGTTGGAGCGTTTGTCGAAGAAGCGAAACCGCGTTGCGTACCTATATGTTTTTACATACTACATGATATTCAACAGATGCTAATTCTAACGAATATTTTGATATTCGTAGAATGCTATATCTGATGCTCAATTGGATAGATATGGCACACCTTATAATACTTATTATTATTTATAAGTCATCAATGACACGAATTGAGTAATTTAAATTCCAGTCATTGTCAGATTGTTTCCATTCCAATAATCGCTGATGATAGAGGTGAAGAATCAGGAGTTATTTTCTTTATTCTCGGTGATGAAAAAAAAACAGTACTATGCTCGGTACTACGTCGAAGGTGAATGCCAGTATCAAAAGCGTGAAAAACCACACGTTCATTGTTTTAAATAGGGAACCTTGTTTCTATATTCTATTCGAATTCTATATGATTCATTGAAAACATGAATTTGTGGTTTTTCACGGTTTTAGGGATCATATACAATACTCTCAGGAGTACTTCTGATAAGGGCCGTGGAAATGCCTTATTACGGCATTCGACTTCCTCAAGTAAGTGAATACAAGAATGGATAGCCCTGTATATATACAGGGTGAGTCAAAAATGTGTACCGAATATTGTGGTGATAGATTATTGAAAAATAGGGATAGTTTGATGAATAAACTTATGGCCCGAAATGTGTGAAAAAACAGGGGTATTTGATAAAGGTACGCATATCAAAATATGAAGAATTGAACCGTTTTCGAGATATTTGAGTTTTTGAAGTCACATGATATCGCAGATTAATTTATCGGTGACAATATTTTAGAAGACATGACCAATTACGTTCATGACATCAACATTGTTATTGTTAATTTCTTCGTTTGTTTTTCTTGGTTCGTTATATCAATTACTGCAAATTTGAACTGAGGTTTTTTGAAATGGCAGGTTATTCGTGCTGCAAATATGTTTCCCGCTTGACGCATTCCAAATTCTAGAACAATTTTGAGGATTCTGCAAAGATTGCGTGAATGTTTCAAAACGAAAAATACAGATAGTGGCCGGCCAATAAGTTCAAGGCCTACTAAAATATTGTTACTGATGAATTTTGCTGATGATATGATGTCACTACAAGAACTCAAATATCTCGAGAACGGTTACATTTTCTGTATTTTGATAAGAGTACAATTTTTAGGTAATTTTCTACTCTCTATTAGATGCTTCTATGATTTCACCGAAAAGAATATAAGGAAAAAAGTTGTCTTCAAAAAATCATGACTGACCCTTTGAAAACACCCTTTATACTATAGCAGAAATGTAGAAGTGAATCAAAAACTGTATTTCATCAACACACATTCATGCCGGAATTTTTAATTTGGTGGCTTCTACCGTTTAGAAGTTATGCGAAACAAATATTTTGATTTAATCAACTTTGGAAGGATATATCTCATTTGACACACATTTTGGTCATTAGTTTATTCATCAAACTATACTTATTTTTCAATGTTCTATCACTTCCAGCAGAGAAAGCAGGGTTCACATTTTTGACTATGTATAGGTACAGTCAGATAGAATGAAAATTTCGCGGTCAGATGGTGTTCTATCTAATTGCAGAAGTGACTCAGGTGCTATCACATCAATGAGTGCCTAATTTTCCATTGAGTAAAGAATGCTTCGCCGCCTATGGGTACGAGTATGACCTCGGGATTCAATTGACCATTTCAATATGTTGTGAGTTGTGTTATGATGGTGTAACGTAAACAACTATTTTTAGACCTGTTGTCATAATGAAATATTTCGGTGCGATTTAGATTTAGAATTACTTGGGTAGGCACCACGCAACAGCAATCTGGACATAGGTAGGGTACAGGAAAAAAATAGAAAATTACATATAAGCGGATGAATGGGCCATCACTTTTAATGCAATGTCACCCTATTGAGTTATATCATTTACACAAATCGGCACATTCAATGGTAAATAAAAAGTGACCCGATGCCGAGCCCGATGCATGGCCGACTTATTAACGCCAATATTGGAGAATCAGTATTTTCATTTATCGAACAGCAATGAACAAGTACATTTTTATCACCGACAAATAGTGCAAGCAATTGAATCAATGGGCCATAGCTACCCGAGTACCTATATTGCCTATTCGGGAACATTTTCATTCTCAACTCATAGACAATCTAAACCTATACGTACCTACTTATATCCCAGTATAATTGTATAAATTAATAAAATAAATATATTACTTAGCATATTATAATAATCAGGTAAGTAAATAGGTTTTTTAGAAATACCAGTTTTAAAATAGGTGTTTACTTATAAGGTGCTACGGTACTTTTATACCCACCTAGTATACCTACCTATACCAGTACCTACAAAATAGCAAGCTACCAAAATTTCACGACGCCACTGGCAAGAATTAGGTTGAGCCCGTTTCTAGTTCAATAATGTTCAATGGTTCGAATCTCGGTTCGAATCTAACTACTAACTACAAAAAGAGGGACGTTTCTAGGATGTCCAGAGGATGTATACCTATAATTGTGTTGATAATGGTATATCGAGTGGTATATACAGGGGGAAATTTGATTGATGGCAAAAAATATAGAGGATATAGGTATGGTTTCTTAGCTCATTTTAAGAAGAAAACCTCTTCAACATTGGAGCTATATAGGGTATTAAAATTTTATCTTATCTTTGAGTACCTATTCACACTTAATCAAGGATATTATTGATTAAAGAAACTTCCAAAATATAAAAAAACTGTCACGTTTATGAATACTTGTCAAATTAAGACCGCAACGGTATCGATCAAATGTCATGATTTCAAATATAAAATAGGGCACCAGCCTACTAGCTAGTTCAAAATAATATCGTTATACCACAAATGCATAAAAACGGTGGGTGGAACGGAAAAAATGCAGAGAGCCAAATTGTTGCAAAATGAGTGTTTTACAAAAACCTCCAGTATACATCTCAAAAGGACGCCACTGCCGCCACTGGTAGAAATATTAAAAAATCTAGTGCATCAAAAATGCCTATTGGTGCTTAGTAGGTAGATACACTCTTAGTAGTTGCATGTCAAATTTCATGAAAATATCTAGAACAATAATATTGAAGATATGATAGGTACCTAAGAAGGAAAACGAATTTTTTCTTAAAAATTTAACACCCTATAGCTTGAAATTTGAGAGGTTTAGGGCATACCTATATTCACATGAACTTTATTTCTTCTCAAATTGAGCAATAAGGGAACCGTATCCTATATTTTTAGCCATCAATTGAATGACACCCTGTATAAACGACCTCAGGATGTCCCTGGTATGTCCTTTTTGTTGTTAAGCGGATATTCGTGGGACGTCCCAGGAATGTCCACGGGGTATATATGTGTTGGTAGGGCTAGTTGCCCTGATGTCGCCGGATCTAATAATAAAATAATATAATTACTATTTCTTGTTCGTTTTCCGGTATGTATAGGTACCTACCTATATGGGTATATTTTCAGTTGTCCTACCACTCCTACCAATCAACTTGTTAATAAAACAGTTAAAAATGTCGGTTCCTACCGGTAAACGGTAAAATTTAAATAGGATTAGTCGTAATACGTCTTCTTTAACTCTACCAGTTTTTTACCGGTAAAAAGAGATCATTTCTGAAAAGCTTATCTGGAAACGTTCTCTGATTCGAGACATGATAATGATATGAGTAATCCTGAACAAATGTTATTGGCAATAGAAAAATATCACTTACGGATAACACTCATGTTGGCAAATTATTTGAAAAAATCCACTCACAATAGCGTACACAACACTTTCGAACTGAATACTTCCACACCAAACTATCTATAAATGTTCCACGTTTGCGCGTATTCCAGTCAGGCACGGCTCCACTAAGAGGGCACCCATAATCCATGAGTAGTCAATATAATTTGATGATTAATCGACTCACCTGAAGGAATGATTAATCCAATTGATATATAATATAATATTTTGTAGTTTTACGTTTGTCGCCCCATTTCGGTACATATTTTTAAGGAACTTTGGAGTGACATTTCAAACGCACATCCTGGGAGAAATCATGTGATTTGTCCTTACTACAAGTATACCCTAGTATACAGGGTGTCCCATAAGTAATGGATCAAAGGAAATGGAGGGGGGGGGGGGTTATTTGCAATCAAACTAACGGTATATGGTGTTATCAAATTGTTGCTGGTTGAAAAGTTTTTCAATTTTTCTGAGTAACGCGACCCATTAAAAAAAAATGAAGGAAAAAAGGTAGTTTTGAATCACCCCCTAAATATTCAACTTTTTCTTATGATTGGTTATCTTTGTAGGGTAGTTTTTGAATCTGCCATTGGCATTCAAAAATCAACTTAAATATTTCAATCAATGACAAAACTTCAGGAAAACAAAATTTTTCTCAGGTAATCAATAAGAAGTAACACAAATGTCATGAAATTATTGCTGGGAAAGGTGCATTTATGTGGATGAAATTTGTAAAAGAATAATTCACAAATGTGACATAGGTAGTTTGATTTTAATTTTTTTTTATATGAATGAAAATATATTTATTTATTATACAAGGGAGAAAAGTAGTAGATTTTAGCTCCAGGTTGTGTTGTCTCCCGACTCGTAGCGGAGGAAGACAACACACTATTTTTTTCTGTGACAGAAGGAAGGACAAATCAATATTGAGAAGATATTACATTATTTTGAAATCTGAAAATTATCGACGTGAGATTTTAAGTTTTTAACAGTAGGGACACCTGCGTTGTAAGCATCTTTATCATTCTTTTGAAGAAATCAAATATCTGTCAGTCTAATTCAGTGATTTGATTTCGAAAAATTGCGAATTTACTGGTTGTTTAGTAATATACGTAACCGCGAAGTCGAATGGAAGATAAAAGGACATGCGTTCTTTCTCGGAGACGGTATAATTGACTCATTTTTCGGAACTATAGCACAACAAAAGTCATCAACAGTGTATATATATATATATGAGATATATATCCGGGAAGAAAATACTCACTGTTTTCCCACGGGACAAAAGTAATTCATGAAAAGTGGCATTTTATAACCTGCCAAGTGCCAACAGAGATGAAATGCCAAACTTTTTTCCCGTCACAGAAAAAAAATATTTTCTGAACCATCAACAATTGGATAACCACATATACGGTTACTTTGATTAGAAATGACCCCCCTCCTCCTCCTCCCACCCTGTTAAGAAACAATACTAATATTTTTATTTTTAGAGACGAGGAGAGGAATTCGCAAAAATTTAAAGAAACAGATAGTTTTTATTCTCAAAACGAGTCATGAATTCTAGCCTTCGTAGCCTTGGCTGAAGATAGTTCCCTATGAATCCAAATCAACAAAGCAGTTCCTAAGGTGGAAGGAGGCGTATGGATTCAGTAACATACACAGAACACACAAGGGCTGAAGGACCTTCCATAAGGTTGATGGCTTAGTTGGGTCAATCGTTAGTTATAAATCATAACACACACGTGATGGGTAACAGGGTAACGGTAACAATTAATGAATACGTGGAGAACATCAAGAGGTGATTTATTGTTGAAAACTAGGTACTACTACCTAGTTCAGTCTGGTGATGGCCATCGTGTCGAAACCGGTAATTTCTCTCATCTAATTTTTTACATTAAAAGTGTGGTCGACTAACTATGAGTTGTTTTTCTTATGAATATATTTTGAATCACTTCGACAAATGGATGATTTTTATACATTTTCTATCTATATACTTTGTTCACTTCACATCTCAAAATGACGAATAATGACGAACTTGGGATTGGTGCAGTGGACGAGCACCCGACTCATGACTGCAAGGTCGTGGGAATCACTGTTGCGTTCCAATTAATAGTGCACTTCCTGCGGTGGCGAATGGAGTTAGTAACGAAGCCAGCACATAACACATCATTTTCAGAGCACTTTGAGCTGAAGGACCCCAATGAAGGCCGATGGCGACCCAGTCAACAAATCTATGACATGACATCTCTGAGATGACGCGCGGTGAGGCAACACTGCGATATCACAAATATTGCATCGCTACGATCTACAAAAGCAAACTCATCTGCGAGGATTTTCCAAGAAATTGTCATTTAGATTCTTGTTCTGTGAATATACGTTACTCAACAAAGTGAAGCTGAATTCGCAAACATTCGTTACATTGCTATCAAACTATTCTTGGTTTGCTTACATTTCGCCGACAGACGCTACATAATCACAACAAAACATAATCAATATTAGATATCAGAGGTCCGTGGTGTACCTATCATCACACCATGTTTGAATACACTATTTTTGTCTTACTGCGATGTTATTTCGCATCACATCGTAGTTTTATCGCAAAAACATATCGCTTTTCCATCACAACTAACATATCGCAATTACATTGCAAAACATATATCTCTGTTATATCGCAGAGAACTTATCGCAATGACGTCGCATGGATAAAACCTGAGTGGGACAAAATAACATTCCTCTGACATCGCACCGACGTCTATGCGACAAAGAATGCGATATCTCTGTGATGTAACTATGTTTTCTGGGCAGTTCGTATGTAATTGATGATTTTATGACATTGTATTTCTATATCGTTGAATCATCGTTCAATCAGTACGGTTTCAGTGATGTTTGAACAATGGAGAATACTCAATAATTAATTTTTCAGTAATGTAATTTTGATTCACATAAATCTATATAAAATATATTATTGTAACAGCAACATACCTACGTATCATATTATCATGACAGAAACAGTAATAAAGAAGTACTTTTCCATCACCGACTATAATAGTGTCAACACAGTATGCCGTATCGATTAAATCAATGGGTCATTGTGCCATCTTGTGTTTGCTGGGAAACACCCTGTATCTCACAATCGACACATTGTCCCTGTCATGTCTGTATATCAACTTCTCAAGGTGAAATTTAAATCGGGACACACTACATTGACTATTGAGTCAACGGTCAAGATCGTAGCAATCTCTGTACGAGGCTTTTTAGGGAGTACGGTCCTGGCTCTTAGAGCCTCCAGTAGTTGACTGGGCATGGACGATGGACTATTGAAGAGGGGAGAGGCCCGCAAACGTGGAACGTGAATCTCATCATTTCTAAATCCGTTCCAGTTACTTCTTTTCAGCAAGATTATGACTTATAAATAAGTGAGTCACACTAATAATAATTATGAATGACGATAATAAACAGATTCATCATTCGGCAAGGCTTTGAAATTCATTGCCAAAGAAAGTAAATCTATTCCCCGTTTTTCCTTATCCTCCCTGATATGAAAAAAATACGCACGCGCTCTAAAAATGAAAAAAAAAAGCATGTTATTGCAATTTTTACTGCAATATTTTGGAATTTGTAGAATTCAATCGAATCACTGATATTTTGAACATGATCGATGAGGTTTCCTAATTGCTGTTTGGAATCATCAATTTGGTGTGAGTCCTATAATATTTCTACAGGAGAAAATCAACTTAAATAGGTAAGACCATGATAAGATGTAAGGTCATCAGGTAGCTTATTGACGAGGCCTCATCTCATTTTTAATTATCCAATTATCCATACAGATTCCGGACCTAAAGGTGGTGATTGTTGGTTGCTCTTGTTGCTCAGCTCTGTTGATTGATTGAACTATAGTACATACCTGCCACGTTCATGGCACCGAACATAAACAGAGTTTATGTTCGGTGTTCATGGGTACCCAGACAGCACAGAATGTTCTATGAATATTTTGACAACGTTCAAATATACTTATTTTAGAATATTCTTATAGAATGTTCATAGAATATTCTCATCCTGCAGCATATTCTATGAACATTCAATTTGACATATCCTCAGAATATTCTTTTTGAATATTCTGAGAATATTCGGAATCGTATCAAAATAAATGATATTGTTGTTTCTTTTCTTGTATCAATATATTTATAATGTTTACCCTGACATTAACCTATTTTTCTCTAGCCTCAATGCTGATTATCCTTCTAATTCAGTTTTGTCATCTTGCTATATTCATTTTATTTATCAATAAGATTCGTGGCGAAGTGGTTAAGGTTTCAGCAGAGATTATACACTTCAGGTTCGTGTTTTTAGAGAACCTAGAAACCTATAGATGGGAATCTCCACGGAGTTTCGGACTCCGAGGAGGATCCAGTCATCTCTATTTCCCAGAAAGTGAAAACAAAACAGTGTCCCTGCTACACGCAGTGTAGCGAAATGACACTGAACTCGGCCGAGCTGAACGAGAAGGAGGTTTTTGTTTTCAAATTTTAATTTTCCTCCATACAAAACACAACTCCGACCACTGATAGCGTTTGAACAACACCCCCACCCATTGGGTAACCTCAGTGAAATTACCTATATAAAGGGCTTAGCCCTAGGCAGAAATAAGTTACCCACTGTGGGTAACTTATCTCCGCCCTAGGAGATATTTGTATACTTATACACAAGGTGATTCAAAAGTCGGCGGCATGCGTATTCCTTGCATGAATATAAGGCAAAAAGTTCCTATCAATAATGGTCCGAAAATGCGCCCTAAGGGATCTACGTCCCTTTGAATAGGACAACTCAAAGACGATTTTTCCCTATAACTTTAAAATCCTTCACAATAAATTTTCAAAAATTGGTGTACGTCATAAACATTTGATGGTAAATAAGACTCTCAATTCAAAATTTCAAAATTCTATTCAGGTACGTCACATGCGGGGGAGGGAAAGTGTAAAAACATCCCTTCATTTTTTGATATCCAGGTTATTGCGATTTACGCAATTCAGAAAGTTTTCAAAGTCGAATTCCTCCTGAATGGTACGATATATCGAAATGAACTAGAAGTACCTTTTTTATGTGAAAAACTCTTGAATTTTATAATTTTCAAACGAAATCACAATAACCTGAATATAAAAAGAAGAAGGGATGTTTTTACACTTACCCTCCTACGCATGTGAGGCCTCTGAATTAAATTTTGGAATTTTGAATTCAGAGTCTCATTTACCAACAAATTTTCATGCCATACACGAATTTTCGGAAATTTATTGTGAAGGATTTCAAAGAGAGAAAATCGTATTTGAGGTGTCCAATTCAAGGGGGCGTAGCTCCCTTAGGAAGCATTTTCGGACCCTTATTAATTGGAACTTCTTGCCCCATTTTCATGCGAGGAATACGCCTTTGAAAGGATGCCGCTTGGTTTTAAATCACCATGTATAACAGCACCGTATAGTATAAGTATATCTTCTGTGTAGGTTCATCTAGGAAGTTGAATATTTCTTTTTCTAAATTTGGTAGGATTCTTGTTTCTCCTCGCCTCTATAAATAAAAAAAATAGTATTTTTCGTAATAAATTAAAATCTCAAAAACTATTCATCGTGAATTTTCTCGAGATAAATTGATTTTTGAGAAAATTGAGATGATTTGACTTGCAAAAATACCCAGTCTGCAAGATTTTATGGAAACACGCACGAGTTTAAGGGTTCCCCAGGGGAGCTGGGGAAACATTTTGAAAACTTTTCATCGTGTAGCCAAGATACAGGGTGATCAAAATTCTGAATCTTGGACCATCCTGTATTTTTTCCAATTAAATGTCGGTAGATAGTTAATCAAAAGCTGATATAGGGACATGTAAGCCGTTTTGACCAACGATGAATAGTTTCGACACAAAAAAATCCTAAAGTTGAAAAATCTCGATTTTGAACACCCTATATCTCTGTAATAATTCCTGCTAGACCCCAAGTGTGATTCATTGATGAAATCAGCTCTTCGAGAAGAATCTTAAAACGCAATGAAATACAGGGTGTTCCATTTGAAATAACAAAGATGATGCTACTTTTTTGTAAAAGTGGCAACGCTGCTCCGCTGAAAATATTTTGAATCGTTAGATCACGAAAGCTTATTAGAGTAACCAAATTTTCAGGATAGTCCAATGTACCGTTTTCCGTATACGTCTAAGCTAGGTACCATCGACCGTGGGCCACCCTGTATAACAATTATCGCGATATCGATTGTAACATATGTTGGCCAATGAGACATTTTGGCGTTATTATAGGGCTTCTCAGACGTCATTTTAGGACTCCTAATTCGTCATCTTGTGACCAAAGTATGATGTCAATCTGACATCAGTCTGCTACCTGAATGAAATGATCAATAACACAACATTTTTCTATATAAAAATACTTATTTATTATAGTATATAAAGGTATAACTTGATGAACTTAAACACAAACCTAAATGCTAAATAGAAAAAATCTAAAAAAAAAATTGTGGAGATCCATTTTATATCCATCGCTCTTATTTATTCTTCTCCGCCGATGACATCAACTTTGGCCGTTCCGGTGATATCCAGCAGCTCCTTGGAAGAGAACGTCGCTACCAGCTTCTGCTCGCCCTGGAACTTGGGAACGATGCTGACATTCACCTTGACCACTGCTCCCGGTTTGACGTCAGAATGCGGGATTATCTGATTCCTCAACAGACCCGGACCAGAGACGTGGAATTTGCAGTTCGTCAGAACTCTCTTCAGAGGGTTGACGAACCTGAGGGTGAGCATGTTGGATCTTCCGTTCAGGATCTGAGGTGGTAGCTGAATTCGAAAAAGACTTGCGTCCTTACTTACGTCATTTAAATATACAGGGGGATTCCGCAGTTGGAGCGATATATTTGAAGTGGGGTAATAGGAGACATGAAAGTATATATATAGAATACAAGTATCGTCAGGATGGGGCTGTGTGCGATATTGAAAGCTTGATATCGATATCGATGTATGCGTTGGTATCGATATTAATCGATATATCGACATATTTTATCGATATACAGTGTTATTCATAAAGTCGGCATCATATGGGAAAAACTTTCAATAATAATTTATTTCGAAATTCGACTCGGGCGTTAAATTTTGCTATGAAAATATGGAAAATAGGCTACTCGGTCGGGGTCACGTGATTTTCGCTACATGTAAAAAGTTATATTTTTCCAAAGTTATCGCTGAAAATAAGCTTATTTGATTGAATTTCAAGGGAGTTCACTAAGAAAATTTGTTTCTATCCCAATTTTACCTATAGGTGTCTCGAATCTAAACGTTTTATAACAACTTTCTTATGCAGGGCTTTCATTTCAAAACTTACCACCCTACATATCTTCTGATCTGCGAAGAGAGAGTTTTAGAAAAGAAACAGGTCGATTTAGATATCGAGGGGGAAGTGAAATAACAGTATCAATGGAATGCTATGTTCATCCATGGTTCATCCCCTTCACCCCCATACACCCCTACTTGGAAATCTCATATGGCACCCCCTTCTTTGAGATACATAAAATTGAAGGTCCACCAGGCCAACCAGGTGGAAAAATTTATATTCCGTTTACAGGGTAGGGTGAGTCATGAGGTACTGTACATACTCCTACCACGAGCGGATGCTCCTGAGGGGAATACCACATGGTCATCCAAAATGTTTTCTCCTCTTCTAAAATGATATACAGAGTGATCCATAGGATTGGACAAAATATTATATTTTTGTCATAACTTTCCAACAATTTCTTTGAACTATTTATTTTTTTGATGAAACATTATACGCACACGTTCCTATTACTGACGTATACAAAATTGAAGAAATTTAGGACCGTACTTGTAGTCGAAGAGGTCAGTTACTGATTTCCAAATTCGACTGTTCCTGCTGAGAAATTTGTCAATTCACCTATAGGGTATAATCGAAAGTATTGAGATAAATTGTGATGGAGTACGTCAATATTGTATAGGTAAAATTTTTATAAAATTCATAAAATAAATATTTGATGCACTTTTTGGTACATTTGAGTTTTTCTTTTTGCCTCCATCAGGAACATTCAGTAGTAAGATACTGTTGAATTGTTATTAGTACCGTTACCTTGTACCAACACATACAGGGTCTCTATAAATGATCGTAACATCGGAGTGGCCGTTGACATTTTTTTCTATCTGCCGCTTTCTACTAATGCTGTTAACAACATTTAACGACCCAAAAGAGGGGAAGTGATCATATACAGGATCTTTTTTTATATCGTTTTGTATACACTACACACAGAAAAAAAATTTCTTCGAATGAGAAAACCCATTCTCTTGAAAATTCAATTGTATATCTTCTTTGAATTGAGCATATTCTTTTGAGTCGAGAAATCTGGTATGTTCAAGAGAATAGTGTCATATTATCGAAATATATTCCCAAACCAAGAATGTAATTATTGAATTACTAAATTAATTACTTCAACTCAATCAAAACGATTTTTCAATTCGCAGAAGCGTAGTATTTTGTTTCAATAAATTTATTGCTTGATCCAAGAATATAAGTATACATTTCTTCAAATCAAAGAATGTCCATTTCATCGAATGACATATTCAGTTTTCTTGAAATGCAAAAACCTAATATGTTAAGGCAATACGCCATTTTCTTGAAACAAAAATATAAATAATTATTTCTTCAAATGAAGCATTCTAATTTCATTATATTGGTATTATAATTTCATCAAATCGAAGACTCCTGATAGTTTCATTCAATGCCATATTCACTTGATTCAAAGATATGAATATCAATTTTCTCAAATGAAAGGAATATAATATCTTCAACTTGATGAACTTGATGATATTAATAATTTCTCTAATTGAAGAAGCCACATTTTGATTCAATACTTCATTTACTTGATTCAAGTCTATGAATAGGTATTTATTTGGAAGAAAATAATATGCCTTCGGAAATCAAGGGTAAGCAATCCTGTTGCCAAAGCTCAGGCCTCAGTCTTCAATCATTATTGACCATGCTCACATCATTATGACAGGCCCACAACGGCGAAACGGCATTAAGCTGCGAAGTTTGAAAATTCTGAATGTTTTATCGAGTGTGTATAGGTGGAAATGTCTTAGAATATAAATATCTAACAAATGCAGAACTTGTAGAGAGCTGGTGAAAGTATAACATTGAATTCCCTTGGTAAGTAGGTACCTTTCCAAATATCGATAGTCATTGTGAGTGAATCAACAATTTTTCAATCAAAATAACAGGGATTTAGTAGTATCCTGCTATGAAAATATGCTTATTAATTCATTCGAAATTTTTTTGTAGCAAAATGACGACTGGTTGATGAATGAAGAAGTATTATCTACAAATGAATTGCAAAGACTTGAGAAGATCTTGACATTAGGTGAGAGAAAGTTTCCTGCCGAGTATCTCGAATCTATATATCCGATATCTTCCAGAAGGCATGATATTACTGGAGTCACGATATAACATATAGTAGAGGTGAGTTTTTAATCGATCATAATACTTATGTTATTGTTTGTAACCGTTATCATTTCCAGCGAAACTTCAAGAAGACGAAATCAAGGCATGTGATTATTCTATAACCATTTGGGGTCTTGATGGACAATACTGATCCAAGATGTACATACCTATACATGGGATTATTGTCAACTAAAGGAACAAATATATATTTCTTCACAAATATTCTGTGGAGTTTAGTTATCTCATTAGGAATCATTCACAGTTTTGAATCAAAAACATTATTATATTTTTATCCAAGCAGTCAATATTTTGATACAAGAAAATAGTTCCATTGGAGAGAATGAGCTCAATACTCATTATAAAAAACATATAAATTCGGATCGAAAATATCAATGTGTTCATTGAAAATTTACGGAATTTTGACTTAAATAAATCGTTCATTTTGAAATGAGATAGAACAATTCTCAATAATAGTAATCCATAGTTGCAAATTGAGAAAATGATTGTTTTCATTTGGTGGCTGGATTCCATATCTCAAAATTATGGTTTTCCTGAAATAAGTAAATGATTTTGTCAATATGAATTATTTCAATTCTCACTTCAACATAACAAACGTCTCCAACCATGCATATCTTGATTTTCCTACAAGAGAGTTGTTGAATAAATCATTGTTTTGGAACAAGATTATCATATCTTTCGTTATATACAAACAAATTATTTTCTTGGACCAATGCAGTCATGCTCAATACAAGAGATTCTTTTTTTGTGTGTACGGAAATGTATCTCAAAGAAAGGAGAGTCCAATATTGGAGTTTGAAAAATAATGGAACAAATCAAAAATATTTATTAAAGAAGTGATAAATAACGGTTTATTTCATTAACCTACATCAAATGTTCAAAATGTTCTCCGTTTTTCTCCAAGCATTTCAAACCTCTTCGCCGTTTGTTGTCGAAAATGTTCCTCAGCATTTCCGGGCCAATATTTTGGCAGCAACGTGTTATTGAGGCTTGCAGCTCTTCAAGGTTATTATTGTCTCTCTTGAATACTTCGTCTTTCAAATATCCAAAAAGGCAGAAATTCAAAGGCGTCAAATCTGGAGAACGTGTTGGAAAAGGAGGATTAACTCCTCGACTTATCACACGGTTGTCATAAAATTCTTGTAAATATTCTAAATTTGCACGTGTGGTGTGGGCAGTGGCCCCATCTCGCTGAAAATAGCCAACTCGAATTTCCTCATCATCAAGTTGATTGATGAATGGTTCTTGTCTGTACCTTCCACCATTGATAGTGCCATCGAAGAAAATCGGTCCATATATTCGCCTACGAGAAACTGCTAACCACACCTCAATTTCATGAGAATGTAGTGGAGTCTCAATGAAATTGTGGGGATTCTCAGATCTCCAAAACCTAGAATTTTGTGAGTTCACGTATCCCGACGAATGAAACCAAGCCTTATCGCTGAAAAATGTTAGGTCCAATAGCTGGTCATCGTTGAGATTATTTTGGAACCATTGGCAGTACTCCAGACGACGTGGGATATCTATTGGCAGAAGTTGCTGTAGTACACTGGTCTTGTAAGGGTGCATATGCAATCTTTTCTTGAGCACTTTATGGCATGTACTTAGTGGCACACCAGATTTTAAAGATATTCTCTTCAATGAAGTTTGGGGATTTTGCTCAACACGCGCCCTTCGATTTTCGACAATTTCTTCCGATATTTGGGGCCTCCTGTTGATTTCTTTCTATTAACGTTCCTGTTTGGATGTATCTGTTGATCACTGTTCTGGTGTGGGCTTTCAAAGAAGATTCTTGAATCTGTACATTAGGATATTTCGCCAGGTACTCATCCTTGCAGGCTACTACCGAGTAACTCCATCCACTATTGATGAATGTGCCATTTCGACAATAAGACATTACAATAAATGTATTCCGCTCCGAGGAATAGGCCATCCATCTTTTCAACACGACAATCACGAAGTAGAAAACAGAATCGTTTGAAAATTTCAACGAAAAAACAATTGTGAGTTTATCTTTATCAGCTATGACAGTATATTGATGTCAGAAATTAAATTCGAATGTGTGAATCTCTATAAATGGAAGGCTGCAAATGGAGAAAATATTTCAACGGCTACTACGATGTTACGATCATTTATAGAAACCCTGTACTTCAAAATGGTTTATTCATTACAAGAAAGAGTAGAAATTATATTTATTTATGGAGCTGAAAATCATGTTCCTCATGACCCACCCTGTATGCAAAATAATTTATTTTTCACCTGGTTGATTTGATTATTGATAGACCCTCAGTTTTATATTTCTCAAAGTAGGGGGTGCCATATGAGATTTCAAAGTAGGGGTGTCTGGGGTTGTCATTGATACTGTTATTTCACTTCCCCTTCGATATCTGAATCGACCTGTTCTTTCCGAAAACTGTAATCTTCGCAGATCAAAAGATATGCAGGGTGGTAAGTTTTGAAATGAAAGCCCTGTATATTTATCAGTGTGTGCGATATCTACCCGAAACACCCTCCTAATTCAGAACCAGTCGACCGATTCTCAAAAACAAAAATTCCAAAATATATAGTACTTCTACGAGCTCTTTTCGAAAATGTGAACAAATCTGAACTGATGGGATTTTCAAGGCCTACTTATTTTGTCTGTAAAGGGGTCAAAATCCCAAAAAATACTATTAGGAATTTTTTTTCAAAACAGTGACTAGCCTTTTCGATTCAGGAATAGCTGAAATACACCCCTACGAAATTACAATGCAAAATCTCATATAGGGTGTTAGTTATTCAATGGCAAATTTTGATATTTTTGATTTTTTGATTCACCCTGTCTCAAAATCTAAAGAGTTGATATAACCGAGGTAGTCATTCAATGGAGGAATACATCGTATACTTTGATACGCAGTTTCATCGTTTTAACTTCTAAAAATAAATGAAATTGAAGTTTTATTATGATCCATTTCGAAGTTACTGTGCGGTGGATTGTGTGTGAAAAACGGTTTACTGTTGTAGTCAAGATGTCGAACTACAACTTTAGTTTCACTGGTTTTTGGTTGACGCAGAAAGATCTTCCTGTAGAAGTTACAGCGAAGAAACTTCGTATATTAGTATTCGATGGTTCAAGATTCAGAATTCAGATCCCCCTGTATCTGTTAGTTCAGATCAAATATCAGTAAATAGTGAATCAAAAGTTGAGATAGAGACATGTGAGCCGTTTTGGCCGATAATGAATAGTTCCGATATAAACAAATCATAATAATATAATGTTGAAAAAAATCTCGATTTTGAACACCCTATATCTCTGTTATCATTTCCGATAGACACCAAGTTTGATGAATCGGTGAAAACAGCTTTCCAGGGAGAATCTAGAAATGCAATGAAATACAGGGTATTATATTTGAAATAACAAAGTTGTTGCTAATTTTTCATAGAAGCGGCAACACTGGATTGCTGAAAATATTTTAAATTAAGAGAGCGTATTGTAAAATATAAGCATGCATATTTTCAAATAATTCTCCCGACTTATTCTCGATGTGGAGATAGTGTAAGCTAGACGGGACATACCTGTATACTAGTGTATACCCTACACGGTCGTCTGCAAACTGTTTTTGCAATAATAGTAACCTGTGACATACGCCGAACGGTAGGTACCTAAGTGATGATTCGAGACCCCGGGTTTTTTTAGGAAAACTTATCACCCACGCGGCCCCAGATCATTTTTCCCAATAATTTCTGCTCAGTCGATGAAAAATATTGCAACGAATTTCTTGATAATTGTGGCTACTCACTCTTATATCAATATTTGGTTTGATCACTTGAAAATCATCTTCATCGGCCCAAGTCTGATTTGTTTCTGTGACAGTTGCGATCGCGTTGATTTTCATGATACAGTATTCCACCAGTTTGTCCAAGTATTCGTCGGCTTTAACAACCAGCTTCAATTCTTCATCTGCAGAGATAGAAAAAAAATATTTTTTTTTCAGTTGATGGTATTGATGATAAAAAGTTTTCCTACGACCATTCATGAAAACCACACATATCGCCCTGTAGTTAGGTAATATACATACAGGGTGTCCGGAAATTATGCGCAAAAAATCAAGGGGGTGATTCTGCATGAGAAAACATGGAATTTATTTCATATATACTTGGGCCCGAAAATGCATTGTTTTCAAGATACAGTGTGTTAAACTTTGTAAAAAAAAAATCGATTTTTTATGAATATCTCAAATGTCCTTTTACCGATTCTCTTGAAATTGGGCAATGATATTCTTTGTCATGAGGGGCTGATTTACCCTTGATTAAATTGGAATTGTGAAAACCATTGGCGTCCCGGGGGCACCCAACCGAATATTATTGTCAATAAAATGTGCGCCACTGATTTTTTCGAATTCTATATCTTCATATCCTAATGATCAACTAAAAATACAACATTTTTGTCTCTTGAATTGTTTTGCTATTTTGCTGCGTTTCTGTGGAGAAAAATAAATACCAATTCATTGTATAAATTTGTGCAAAACATTGCTTCAAAAACAGGGGTGAAATTAAATGTGTGATCCATGTTCATAGACGTAGAATGAGAATGAAGATTGATTTTCTTCAAATATTTCATAATACATGCTTGATACACTTTGAATTATCGAAAACTACGCGTTAATGGACCGATAATACATAATTCTCAATATACAGAGTTTAGAGTGTGTCAAACATATATCAGGAAATATACTTCATCCTAATTTTATATCTATGGACATTGATCGCGCATTCATTTTCACCCCAGTTTTTGAAGGAATTTTTTGGCACAAATTTATGCAATAAATTGGTTTTTATTTTTTCCCATGGAAATGAAGCATATTATCGAAACAATTCAGGTGCCAAAAATGTTGTATCCTTATATATGGTCAACAGGTTATGGAGATACAGATTTTAAAAAAATCAGTGGCGCACATTTTATTGACATTAATATTCGGTAGGTTGCCCCCCGGACGCCACTGAATTTCATAATGCCAATTGAAATATGTGAGCCCCTCATGACAAAAAATATCATTGCCAAATTCCAAGAAAATTGGTGAAAGAACATTTAAGATATTCATGAAAAACAGATCTTTTTTTTAAGTTTTAACACACTGTATGTTGGAAACTATGCATTTCCGAACCCACGTTTATGTGAGAAAATTTCTTATTTCATCATGTAGAATCACCCCCTTGAGTTTTTGCGCATAATTTCCGGACAGCCCTTATTTCAAAAAATTCAGTAGAATGTTATGGAAAAAAGTTGTTTACAATTGAAAGTTATGCCTAGATACCAAAACATGGCCCCCTAAGAAATTTTTCAGCTTTTCAATTCTGTTCGTTAATAATTTCCCAATTTGTAATATTTTATAAACAAAATGTGCACATTCAATGGAATTTTTTGAATATGCATATTATCATTAATGATATTTCACCTTGTTAAAAATATGGTTTGCGAAGTTTTCAAGTTAAGCTGAATATCGTTGCAACAAACAAATATGCTTGAATCTGAACAAATTTATGGTCAACTGATTTTTTTATGATCAACTTATGAAAGTATCCAGGGTGAATATAAAAAAATTACAAATTATTCACGAACATAATTGAAAAACTCAAACTTGTCTTAGGAGGCCATGTTTTGGTATTTAGGCATAATTTTCAATTGTAAACAACTTTTCTCAATAACATTCTGCTGAATTATCTGAAATAAGGGTACTTTACTCTTGAGCAATTTTTATATTTTTTGACCTACCCGGCCTGTATGCTGTGTTACTTGCAACCATTCTAAAGTGCACCTAAAATGATCACCGAACATGCACCAACTTTTGGCATTTTGGTTGTGCAATTCATTAAGAAGATTCCCATATGTTGTACATTTAAATGACCACACTGTATAGTACCATATTATAAGAAAATGTTATCAACGTGTTCATGCTGTCCCTTTTCAGATTAGAAGATGATTTGTTATCATATACATACATATACTGATTTCAATTGAATCAATTAAATCAGAGAAATTGTAATCAAATCACCTGATCTTTCCGCGAAATCATCATATATGAATATACGATATGCTTATATGACCAGTTTATAGGCTGGAGAAGGAATAAACGAATAATATTTTATCTTCAATCTCCGATGATTGGTCGTAGGAAATTTAGTGGAATCACTGGAAAGTGTATTTCTTGCACTCATTACGTTTGAGCATTTCTAAATGTTCCTAATGCTAAATTTATTACTTTTCGACTATCTAGTCATGTGAAATATTACTTGATTTTGGTTTCATATGGAATTCGCCTTCTTGTTTGGTGATGGGTTTTGCCTTCACTCCAGTATAATATACACTACCAGCTGATAGGACACATTTGATGTGACGGTTTTTGTCACTGTTATTCTTTATTTTCACCACGATGCTGAAGTTTTCTCCAATTTTGATTTTATCCAGGTCCTAAAACAAAATTATATCTCGAATACACTTCCTTATATTCGATATAGTTATAGCGAAACACCCAAAAGGTGCTTATATGTATATTGGAGAGTTTAATTATTCATCACTTTCTTCCCGGATTCATTCCATCCTTTCTCCCTATTTATTAATAAGGTTATCCTTTGTCAATGAGATTCGAATTGAAGATCAACGAACCCCCATCAATAAAAACCCTATATCCTCATCATCAGTTTCCTTCGCACGAATGCCGAAATAGTTATTTATTATACAAGGGAGAACAGTTTTAGATTTTTACTCGAGGTTGAGTCACCTCCCGATACGTACCAGAGGATGACAAAAAACCGTGAGGTAAAATCTCATATTTTTTCTACAAACAATATATGTTACTTATGGTGTTAGTGTCGAACTGTTTTTATATTTTTTGATACAATTGCATTCAATGTACATGCAAGGTGTTTTTTTTATTCTATTTCATCAATTATGTATGTTGTGTAATATCATTACTTTGCCAATGAGAATTCTTTCTTGGACATTGAAGTATATATCTATATATCTATCTATCTATGACACTGGTGTTATAAAAGTAAAACACTTTTAGCACTAGAGCTAAAAGTGATCTATTTTTATGAGAAAATATGTTAACATAATTCAAAATGAAGTGTTTATTCAATTAAAAGTACAATTAGCGAAACTATAATTATAATACGAAACTCCATGGCCAGTCTGATTGGTAGATGTGACAGAATTTATTTTCGTGAAGCTTGTACCAGGGCAGAGAGCAATATTATCTGCCGAAGTTTTCGACAAAATTTGATGTGCAATGTTCTGTTTCCTTTGTAGCGAGTCTTCAATATAACCCTCTGCTACTGTACTGGACTTCCATCCACCATGTCTTTTAATTGTAGTAAGACTAGCACCAGAGTCCAGTATATAGATGGGAATCAGGCAAATTGAGAAATTCGGCAATTTTGGCAGGCATCTTACCAAATGTGTTGATTCCAACTGGAGTCCTGGCGCATTTATTCTTAATGCATTTTATAAAAACTCTAGAATGATTAAGATCCACTGGACGAAGGGCTATGTACTTTTTGTAGTAGTTCATATATACAATATACCACTTACAACAAAGGTGCGTTGCACATTAGTTTTTGTGTCTGGTATATGCACAAATAGTGAAGTTCCGGAATCCTCGACATTATTTAATGTCAAATCGCACAGTTCTTCTCGACGACAGGCTCCAAAAACACCAAAAATTTGCAGCAACTTTCTGCATTAGATATATTCCATCTGGGGCTTCTGCGAGAAATTTGTCGATTATTTGTTCTCTTGTCAATACTTTTGACTTTTTCGGTCGATATTCTTCATCCCTTCGCTTCAAAAAACCCACAAGCTTGTGATATCTGCTTATGTCATGATCATTTATGTTCATGATCGACTTTAACATAGAGTAATTCGACCAAAGCGTTGACGATTTCCATATTTTGGACATTTCTTCAAAGTATGCAAGGAGCACTTTTTCACTGGCCTCCTTTCCACTGACATTTTTCTGATCACACCATTTCAAGAAACGCTCGTATGAAAACTCGTACTGTCGCTTCGACTTACTAGGCAATAATTCAAAAACAGCTTTATTGGCAGCTTCTTCAATTTGCGGCGGAAGAAAAGTTATTTGTTTAACTAGGCAGCAAAGTAGTAGATTGACTGCCGAGGCTGAATTCATAGCCGAGCGTATAGCGAGGCTAGGAATCCAGCTAAGGCTATTTGTTTTATCTCTTGGAGCGCACGAAAGGAAATTCCTATTATGTTCGTGGAACATCGTGCGTACCTAGGGAGGATAGGGGGAGGCCTTTTGAGCTAGTTCAACACTATTTTTTATTTCAAGCCAAGCATATTTTTACTTGAGAACTATATTTTTTGACGTTTGTAGAAAAAATGTTGTTTGTAACTCGAGCGCGAAATACCTTGGTCATCTCGACTATTTTTTTAGCTTGGCTACGCCTCGTTAAAAAAATTAGATCTCGATCACCAAAGTAGCATTTTGCGCTCCAGATACAAAAATAACTATTCGGACTGCTGCAAAACGTTCAAACAGTGGGAGTGTTGATGTGTTTCCCTATTTTGCAACACCCAATATTCATGTAATTCAGTAGCTTATGATTACTTTTGTTATAGATGAAAAAATCGTTATTTTTGTATCTAGAGCGCAAAATGCTACTTTGGTGATCGACGCCTTAAAAAAATAGTCGAGATAACCAAAGTATTTCGTGCTCGAGTTGCAAACAAAATTGTTTCTATAAACGTCAAAAAATATAGTTCTGAAGTGAAAATATGCTTAGCTTGATATGAAAAATAATGTTGAACTGGCTTAAAAGGCCTCCCTAGGTACGCACGATGTTCCACGAACATAATAGGAATTTCTTTTCGTGCGCTCCAAGAGATGAGACGAAGTTATTGTTGAATATTCAGAATTAAATGCTTTCGTGGATGACTGCTCGATTGAGGACCATAAAGTTGAAATATGTATATCTCATATATTTTACATAACATGACCAAAGTATTTCGCGCTCGAGTTGCAAACAACATTGTTTGTACAAACATCAAAAAATATAGTTCTGGAGTAAAAATATGCTTAGCTTGATATAAAAAATAGTGTTCAACTGCCTTAAAAGGTCTCCCCCTATCCTCCCTAGGTACGCAGGATGTTCCACGAACATAATAGAAATTTTCTTTCGTGCGCTCCAAGAGATAAAACAAAGTTATTGTTGAACATTCAAAAATAAATGATTTCGAGGATATTTGCTCGATTGAGGACAATGAACTTGAAATATAAATATCTCATATATTCTACATAACAATGCGCGAAGTAGGTACTTCACGCACTGTTTTACTTCGCACATTGTTTCGTGCAAGGTATCATGGTAACGTAGGAAACTCAAAAAAAGTGTCACTTCGCAATTTGTTATCAATGCGCAAACCTTGTCATTTGTCATTGACGTTTGTACAAAAAAATAGTTGTTGACTGTTACTGTCAGTTGAAAAAGTATGTATGTCAATCAATTGAATATATAATTATAATCGAGAATATGTATTCATATATATCAGGACTCCAAATCAGTTTCTTTCAATCGATTCATTAAACCTCAATATCTCTGCTGCTAAATTTTGCAAAAATAAACGGGACTATTTTCTTCTTACCAATAAATCGAATTCTACATCTTCCATTTCCGAATTAGGTAGTTCATAGAATCGTTTGGCAGATTCTGTGCACCTAACGGCATTAAGTAAAGATAGCCTTTCAGCCTTAGTGCCTTCTTTTGGTTTGTAGTAAGTGGTGATATCTTGTTTATCTTTGTCGCCATTGTAATCGTACATGAACGGTTGCTTGGTGAGAATGAACCGTCCAATACTGAAAAAATATATTATAATTTATAAGTCTTATAATATTTAACAACACATAACAAACATTTCATGTTATCAATATCGTACAATATCAAGATCGTATATGCGATGATAGCGATATAATATTATATATTATAATATAGTGCATCTATTTCACTACGGGTCCAATTTGCCACATTCTCCCCAATAAAATTGGGAGTGTACTACCATTGTCGATCTAAATGAAAACCTAGTAGGCGACCTAGTACGCGAGGATTACACCTCTAACCCATAGCAGAATAGTTATTTATGTAACAAGTGCGTAAAGTGTTTTTAACGAGTAGGAAATGATGACGCACGACGCCGATAGCACCAAGTAGAAGAACTGATTTCATCGATATATCACACTTGGGGTCTATCGAGAATGATTACAAAGATATAGGGTGTTCAAAATCGGGATTTTTCAACTTAAGGATTTTTTTGTGGCGAAAGTATTCATTATCGGTCAAGACGGCTCACATGTCCCTATCTCTACGTTTGACTCACTATTTACTGATATTTTCATGGATTTTTCCCGACTAATTCTCGATCTAGAGATAGTGTAAGCTGGTCGTGAGTGTCGTGACATACCCCTGTATTCAGTATTGGAATGAAAATTTAAATGCAAAGGAGACTTACTCATAAACTATGATCTTGATGAGCTTACAACTATCAAAAATCATTAGTAGGTTATATGACTTTATTCGAAAAAAATTAATTCGACATTTCCGTTGGTTTCGTTGCAATATTCACCCAGTGAAATAATGGTATATACGTCGTATATCCGGTACAATCTGAATATTTTCTTACTGATATTTGTTGCAGTAGATCCTTGAATATCCCAGAACATTGGATTTGTCGACTTTCCAACGCATCAGGTCAGCGTTAACCGAAGCAATCATAAATCCGACATCGTAGTTGAAGCCGACCATCCCCTTTTTGATCGCCTCCAAAGACGCCGGGCCGCACTGGTAGAACCCGTCAGAAGTTTCCTGGGGAGTCGCGTCTATGGCTTGCCAACCACCATAACCTAAATGATTGAAATCGTTCAAGTCATGATTGTGAAATCAACACCGACCTAAATTATTACTAACTAGATCACTAATGCCACTTGGTCAAAGCTCATTTATTTACGAGATATAGAACTTGGTTTCAATGGAACGTGCGCATTCAGGAACTGTCAGAGATTTTCACTTGCTCACTCTTACTTATGTTTCCGAACACCGAGAGACATGAATCGATGTCATTAATCAGGGCCTACTCTAATAGATTAGGCCCTGCATTAATCCGTTTTCAGGCGAGCAATTTGAACTATATTCTCGGGTTGCTGCGATATGACATATAGAGGTCTAGATAGGAGTTATGTTAGTGGAAATCATTGTGAGCGTGGTTTGTCTGTAAGTACGTGCCGCTATAACTCTGCAACCTTTGAAGGATATACGAGCTGACTGAACAGAAACGCCCCAAGCCATAGCACCGCTATCAATTTTCCTATTCGGAACATCAAAAGAGCAAATGGTTTATCATACTATACCCTAATAACACAATTATGTCCCATGTATATCCTTAGGACGTCCTGTCGGGACATTCAGGACGTCCACAGGACGTGGACATCTATTGGACGTCTGTGGGACGCACAAATGTCGCACTTGAGGACCAACTAGGAACGTCCCTGAGGGATGTCCCTGGCACAACTATCGAATACCTAAATCCTACAGTATTCCTCATCAAGCACTACATCCTTAGGACATCTGTAGGACAACCTATCAGCAACGCTGAGGGATATGAATTGGATGTCCATTACAAATTATTTTTGAATTTGAATTTTTCTGGGTTCCTCTAGGATCAGATCTTGCATCTTGCAAAAGTTTCCCAAGGATGTCCGATGGACTTACGTGAAGGACATTGACGGGTAGTATTTATAGCCTATACGAGCATTCATTCGTCGGCGAGGTGTAAGTTAACGTCCTCGCTGGGACAACATATTGAAAGTTACGACTGGGCGTCTGTAGGACGTTATTTCTTGGACATTGGAAGAGTACAGTTCATGTACCAATTGGGATATCCGACGGATATCCCTGAGTGACATTTCGATTGTTATACGATCCTGGAAATAAGGGCGCCTGTGCAGAGATATTTGAAGGAATGTACACTCAGGAAAATTTCATGGTTGTCTAGAATGGACATTATATGAGATCTGAAGTCATGTCAGAATATGTACTACTTGGGACATCCGATGGATGGGACATGCCAAGGACGTCCTTGCATGGACATTCTACAATATTTACCACGTGGGACGTGTATGGGATGCTATTTCTAGGACATTTGAAATGATGTGCCTGCTGGGACTTTCCGTGGACGTCCTTGCTCGGACATTGCATGAGATGTACGGAATGGGATTATTTTTTGGTCCGGGGCATTCGAACTTGAATTGTACCAAATAGGGACGTCCCTAGGACGAGTGTGCTATTAGGGTAAGTAGGCTTTGATCATAATTTTTTTCGAATTTCAACTGTAACGTTAACGTCTGACAAACTTTGTTTTTCAAATGGCAAAATATGGTATGGTAATATGTATCACGTCATTAAAAGATAGCGTTTTTAAGAGGTGACATGACAGTGTAAGTTCATTCTTATATTATTATGTGGAATGTGGATATACTTTCATTGGTTGTTGAGGAATATGAAACTTTTGGTGCTTATCATTGTATCACGTCATCAAAAAATAGCGTTTTTAAGAGGTGACTATTTTCTAAATCGAGAAGATAGTATTTGTGATGATTTTGTATAATAAAATTCTGTACAGGAAACAATGAATATATGTGAAAAGATCAATATGAAATAGGTATGTATAAGGTGTATGTACATACAACCTCATTGAAGAAGAATATTTTGAGTGCTGTAGCTGACAGTCCATCAACGACAGTCCTGCGAAGATACACTATATAAAACGAACTAACCTCATTTTTCATTAAATATTTGTTGTTTCCACGTTATTTTCATTTCTCAAAATCTAGCAATAAATCGCCATAATATCCTACCCGTCTCATGTGGCATTACAATTCGGCCGACTGGGAAGGTCTTCGTATGTTTTTTTCAGCGTTTTCATGGAGGAGAGTTTTTTTCTCCTCAGCAGATCCAACACGATGTGCTGAGATAATTTCTGAAATCACCATGTTGGGGATGCAAACCTACATACCGAACACTGCAAGGAGAACATCTTCCGATTGGCTTGGATCAGTAGAAACTGCTCTAGAGCTGTCGCTTCCAAACAGCAGAGCATACCATCGATGGCAGAAAAATCCAGGCCCTGAGACTAGAGCAGAATATGTCGAGGCAAGAGGAATATATGCAATGAGACAGATCATCGAAGGATGCTCATAATGTCGATATGAGATCAAACTTTGTTGAATGTTCTAACGGATCCCGTTCATTTTGGTCCTTCGCCAAAGCTGTAGGAAGAAACTTCACTTCCAGCTCGTTTCCTCCTCTAACTAAGGAAGATGGAACACTAGCCACAGCTGCCCAGGAGAAAGGCAACATTTTTGCGCATTTATTTGCTGGAAATACGACTCTTGATTCATCGAGAAAACAAACTCCTAACATACCGCCAATTGACAGTCATATGCCCGAGATCACCTATCGCCAACGTACTATAAGGAATATTTTATTGGTTCTCAACACCAACAAAGGTTGTGGCTCCGACGGAATCCCACCGATGGTTCTCAAGAAATATGCTCCCGAATTTACACCTGTTCTCTGCAAATTGTTCAACTAACAAACTAACTAACTACAAATTGGGGATATTCCCGTCCAACTGGAAAATTGTAAGAGTACAACCAGTTCCTAAAAAAGCAAAAGGACCCTACCTAGCAACTACAGACCGATAGCACTGCTAACTATGCTTTCAAAGATCATGGAGAAAGCTATCAACATCGAGCTCATGAAATACCTGGAACATTCAGGTATTATCAACGATAGGCAATATGGCCTCCGTCATCAGAGATCAACTGGTGACCTACTCGCTCACGTCTCACATATATATATATATATATATATATGGCAGCAATCTATTGAAAAATATGGTGAAACTTCAGCCGTGGCACTTGATATCTCCAAGGCATTCGATCGGGTCTGGCACCATCGGACTCCTCGTCAAGCTTTCATCTTATGGCTTGTCTCCCCAGCTATGTTCTCTGCTAGCTAGTTTTCTCTCAAACAGGTCTATCCATGTAGTGGTCGACGGAGTTACATCTGACTCTCTTATCATAAATGCTGATGTTCCGCAAGGATCAATTCTAGCACCAACACTATTTCTACTCCATGTCAACGATTTGTTGGAAGCAACTTCATGTCACACACACTGTCACAGTACACAGCTTCGCGGATGATAGTACCCTCTGAGATGTTTATAATTCCTATGGTGTAATCACTTAGTACTGGCAGGCGTTTTGATTTTTCTCGATATCGCCTACTTTGATAAAGTAGCGAGGCGTGGGTGATCTTGCTAAATTTCCATGTTTTAAACCAAATTTACAGTTCAAGGATTTCCAGGCAGAATGTCATCGTTGACTCGTTGAGGTTATGTTTTATGTTGAATTTTTGTTTACAATTTCAATTTCACATTTTTATTGTAATGGAAACGATTGTGCGATATATTTCGACCCTGATAATGTTGTCGATCATAAAAAGTGAAAATTTCACAAGAGTGTGCAAGTGGTGTTGTGAATTATCTCAGTGAATTACATGGGACGCATGGCTCATGGAAGGTGAGTACCAGTGACATTTTCCCGAGCATTTTTATTTTTCCCGTAGCTTCTCCTAGTCAGTATTAATAGTGTTTGATTTTATCAGTATGGGTTTTCTTATAAACAATAAAATGATTTCACAAAACTGAAATCTCTAGCTTAGAAAACTTATGTCAATCAGTGGGTCCTTGGATAGTTTTAATTCTATAAAATTGAGAAAAACATTAGAGGGGATCATCACATGGAAGTTTAGTATATAGAGATGAAGAAGTTTTGATATTTGAAGTAGGTATGTGCTCAGTTTGAGAAGTTTCTACCTGGGCACAAAGTAGTGAGTAGTAGCTACTTAGAAAATTGAATGAAAATAAGAAACTAATGATAATTCAAAGGCAGGTAAACATGCATTGTGCACTCAAGGATTAATCATTATGCATTGAATATGGTGAATACAATAATAGGTATCTAGATAATAGCATTTTTCAAGTGTCTATAGTTTTTTACTTGGTTTTTTATGTTCTTCATTTTACCTGAAGCTGCCTGAAGATCTGTAGGTCAGAAAGGTTTCAATTTCTCTATGAATAGGATGATTATTCTATTCCATTCATTATGAGAGAGCTTCAGAGGGTTCAAGGAGGGCTTCAACTTATTTTGTTTTTTTTTTTCAACAATCCATGACTGTTTAGAATTGTTTTTTCCATCTTCACATAGAGCTAACAGAACATGTGGTTTCTATTACATATAAAGATCAGAAACATATTTGGCAGGGTGGTTTGCCAAGCTGAATTACTTAGGTTCACCCCCTACATAATAAAAATGATCATAATCACATTTTTGAGTCACATATAAATCACACAAATTTTTATTCGATAAATTGGTGAACAAATCAGCTTGAATAATAAATATTGAACTGTTACAGGTACAACTAGATTACTTGTAGAAGGAGAGAACCTCCCATGAATCGAAACCAGAGGCACTTGTATGTGTCATCAGAGTGTTTCACTCACTATATTCCATTACAAGGTAAGTCTCAAAATAGAGTTTAATCTAGAAATAGGAGAGACAGCTGATAAACAATTAATTCTAAAATGAAAAACATGTATATTGTGTGGAAGATTTATTGTATCTCACAATGGTGATCAGAGTGTAAACATATCAAACTACAAGTTACAGTTGAACAAATGTGATTTATTATAATTATCAAAATGTATGAAAATGTGAGTACAGAAATTGAAGACTGAATTTTAGATTAAATATATGCTTATAGTCAAAAGCAATAATGCATT